TTCTTCAAGTGCTACAATAGTTTATCCAAGGTAAAAATTAGAAAAGGACTCTAGTGAAAGCTTGTTGATTATAAGGATCAGTCATGTAACTATTATTCCTCTCTATCACATTATATTACTTTATATACCCATACCTATATAAAATACCTTGTCATCATCCTAACCTCCAAAAATCCTTTTAGAAAACACACTTAGTCACATATTTTTAAATCTACCTCAGACATTTTAATCCGCTGTATTTTTATACAAAGTTTTTTTTTTTACACAAACACATATATCCACTCTTCAGTTTTAATAGCAACCCCACAGCTATCCTCTGACTTACTGATTCATTAACAAACATGTTTCTACACTTGACTCTTGTACTTAAAACCAATGAGTAGATAATTATTGGATGGTATTTAAATTACACCAAATATAGACACTACATAGAAGCTGAAATTATTTAAGAAAATAACCATAAAAATTAGAGACTGTGCAGTAGAAACCGCATGAGGAAAGTGCCCTTGGGAAGATAATAGACTCAAAGAACATTAGAGCAGAAAGCAAGTGCAGGCATTTTATTAGGGCTCAGTATAGAACATATAAAGCAAAATATTTTAAGTGTAAACAGACTTATTATATGCAATTAGATGCAAACACCACCGTTGGAAGGGCTCAAGAGTGGGCTCCAGTTGGGCTCAAAACGACTTCCAGAACACTATAGAACTACCCGAGACTGCCACTGGGACTGCCGAGTGCAGAGCACAGGGCCGTGACTCTGAGCCAGGGGTCAGGGCTTCCTGCTGTCACGGCCATCATCACCACATCGCCACAGTCTTTGCCACAACTGCCCCTTGACAACCAGGTGGTGGGAGATGGAATGCTGCCCTGGCCTCATGGCTGGGCAAGCCTGTACACGCAGCCCCAGAGAGGAAAAGGGCTCACTTCTGCCGTCCAAGGGCTTTTAATTGGTGGTAGCTAATTCATGCATGGAAATTCCTTCCCCACCTGCAGGGAAACTGAGAAAATGTAGATTTTAGCTTTCCAGCACCCACAAAGCAGAAAGGGACAGAGGAGGACAGTGGGGTGAAGGGTGAGCGAGTCAGGCCACAGTATCCACACAGAGGTCACCTGTGTGAATTCCTCCAAATCACAGAGGATAAATGTGAGAATAGCAGAGGTTAAGCCTGAACATGGTGTGGCCAATCACAAAATTGCTCTTATTGACTAAATCCAATGTTCTTTTTTTACTATACCCCACTGCCATTCACAAATCAATGTCTCCCATGTGGTTAAATGTTTAATATCATTTAAAATTAGCACTGATATATATTTTTAATTGTGGTCATTAGAAGCTGCTGCTGCTGCTAAGTCACGTCAGTCATGTCCGGCTCTTTGCGACCCCATAGGACATTAGAAGAGCAGACATCAGATTGAATTTGAATTACTTTTTAAAAACTAGACAGAATTATTAAAGGGTATATTATATTCAATATAATTCAATTCAAAAGGATATATGAAATTCAACTTTCACGATCTGTACTGGAAAGATTTTGGGACTCTTTTTTTCTGTTAGGAGTAATAACTCTTTTGCCTCAGAGTAAAAAAAAACAGAAAAAAAGATTTGACCAAAGTCGCCTCTTCATTAGGAATAAATGACCTAGTCATTTGGATTTGGGCTTCATTTTAACAACAACAAAAAAAAACTGATAATAAGAAAATGGATGCTGGCGACAAAGACACACAAAATGCTTGTATTAAGTGAAACTTTATGGGAGGTGGGAGATTTGGAAGTGTGTATGATTTAAGTAAGCCTTGAGAATGGATCTTTAACTACCAAGAAGAACTTGACACCCCTTCCCACTTGACTCCTGGGGCCCAAAGTTGTTGTTTAATTTCACAAGTGTGTCTGGTTCTTCTCATTTGAATTTCCTATTGTTTCTAACCCTAACAGGTTCTAGTTCAAGATGAACTAAAGAGGCTCTTGTGTGCAGTGTTGATATTCCCCTACACCTGTCCTGAGTTGTCTTGCATTCTTTCCGCCTGGCCTCCAATCTCACCCTGGATTTTCTATTCTTCTTTCCATCTATTATTCAGTCTGGGACCAGCAGATTCGCCTTCACTCCTGACACACTTGGTCACTTTTTTACCCTCCTTTTGTGTGTTTTAGACCTTTTTTAGGTCTTTATATTGGTTACTTTTGGCTTAATTATGAACTTTATAACTATAACCTAGACAGCATATTAAAAAGCAGAGACATTACTTTGTCAGCAAAGGTCCATATAATTAAAGCTATGGCTTTTTCCAGTAGTATGTATGGATGTGAGAGTTGGACCATAAAGAAAGCTGAGAGCCAAAGAATTGATGCTTTTGAACTGTGGTGTTGGAGGACTCCTGAGAGCCCATTGGACAGCTTTCAAACCAGTCAACACTAAAGGAAATCAACCATGAATACTCATTGGAAAGACTGATCCTGAAGCTGAAGCTCCAATTCTTTAGCCATCTGATGTGAAGAGCCGACTCTTTGGAAAAGACCCTGATGCTGGTAAAGATTGAAGGCAGGAGGAGAAGGGGACGACAGAGGATGAGATGCTTGGATGACATCACTGACTCAATGGACATGAGTCTGAGTAAGCTCTGGGAGGTGGTAAAGGACAGAGAGGCCTGGCGTGCTGCAGTCTATGGGGTCGCAAAGAGCTGAACACAGCTGAGTGACTGAACAACAACTAGATCATGGTTGTAGTCTATGGAGTCTTGCTCCTTTCATTCAATATTAGATTTTTAAGATTCATGCATATAGTTGCGTTAGCAGTTGCTCATTCATTTTCAATATTCTCTAATAATCTGTTGCACAAATATATCATAGTTTATTTATTCACTATCTTGTCAAGGCAGATTTTTCCCCCCAGGCTTTTACCATGAGGAACATCACTGTATGGACACTTTTGTACAGATTCCCTATCGCATATATGCATTGAATGTTTTTCCTCTAGCATGTAGGAGTGGAATTACTAGGACTTAGAGAATATTTGTGGTCAAATTTGTAAAATAACGTCACACTGCTTTCCAGGGTTCCTGTGCAAACTTACACTCCTCTTAATACGTAAGAGTCGTCCTTGTGTTGTCCCACAGTCCCACCTAGCTGTCTTTGCAAAATTTACTAATTCTTACTCGTCTGGAAGCAAAATGGTAATTTTTGTGAACATAACTTGCATTTCCCTATCAGTGAGATTGACTGCATTTTCTGTCTTTAGCCATGCATGGTGTCTCTTCTGTCAAACAACTCTTCACATCTCTTACTCATTTTATTATTGGGTTAACTGTCATTTTCTTATTGATTTATAGAAGTGCTTTACATGATAATTTTTGGTTGACTAACCTGCAAGTTTCTTCTAGTTTGCTGATTGCTTTTCACATTCTTTGTTGTATTTTTGATAATTACAGTTTTTAATTTAATGTAGTTGAATTTAATCCTTCATTTACTTCACAATCATGGCTTTTAGTCTTTAAAAATGTATTCCTACATTGAGGTAAGGAAATATTCTTTTGCTTTTTTTTAGAGCTAAAAATATTGCTTTCCAAAGTTAATTGTTTATTTGGATTTGGTTTTTGTGTAGAAATGAGACACAAATCAAATCTCAGTTTCCCATATGAATAAATAATTGGGCAAGTCCATTTCAAAGCAGTTTATTCTGTCCCCAGTGTTGGCAAGACCGCTTCTGTCGTGTACTGTTTTCCATCTCCATATGGATCTTTCTGAGCCTCTGCTCTATTTATTCACACCCTGAGCCAATTTAACACTTTCTCAGCTGTAGTATAATAATGAGCCTTGCTGTATTATCTGTTGTATTATCTGGCAGCTCTCTGTCCTCATCTTAAGGATTAGGAGTCTTATTCCCCATTCAGCAGCTCCATTCTAACCCGACTTCACAAGCACGAGACTCCCCTGTCGTCACTTACCCCTGAGCTCCCCATCCAGCACTCCTCCTCCTGCCTTAGCCACAGCTTGGCCAGAAAGCTGACGGAAGTACTGGCCACCCAACTGGCCAAACCGGAACCCTGGGTGTCATCACCGACTCCTCTCTGTCACTCAACACACTCGCTGATTCATCGGCTCTTGTGGACCCTAACTCCTATCAAACCTGGTATTCTCTTAGTCTGGAAAGGGACAGTTAGGACCATATGAGCAACATTAAAGAAATTGTTTGAAGGGAGATCACCACAGTCTGAATATTGAGACTGTTGGGCAAGGTCCAAACAGAGGACAGAACTGAGATCATGGAAAGTAATCAGTAAGTTTTAGGTGCCCCAGTGCTCAGAGAAGAGAATCAAACCACAGGATTCAATGACCCAGTCATGGAGAAAACTGATGTGACAGGATTAGAAAATCCAGATACTGAGGATACCAGCTCAGACAGAACCAAATTCTCCTGTTAGGAATGGAGAGCAAAGAAGGTAAGTCAGTCACGGGGGGAGGCTTGGTTATTGGGAGAAATTGGTCATGAAACCCAGTGCTTTAAGGTCAGATAAGTTGGGCCTCAAAATTAAACCACTGTGCTTAGTCCCTGAGGTCTGTCTACTCCTCTTACCTGGAGACTTCAGAATCTGTGGCAAGGCAGCTTTGACAGAATAAAATATAAAAGAAACTCGGTGATCTCATTGGATAACAAAAACAGAAATTAAAATGTACTGATTGCTATGCGCCAGGCATTTTTGGGCGCCATCCTAAATCATTCCCTCTTATGATGCCATTAAACTTCATAAACACAGTAAGCAATTTAATGTAAGTATCATTGTTATTCTCGGATGAGGAAACTGAGGCCTAGAAAGGTAATTTTCTCAAACTAAATACCTGGTGAGGGGTGGAGGCAAGGTTTAGCCATAGCAGTCTGGCTCAAGACCTGCTGCAATTACCTTCTGTGAAAAGCGTGCCTTCTCAGAGAGAACAGACTTGCGGACACAGCAGGGGAAGGAGGGGTGTGAGGCGAACTGAGAGAGTAGAACTGACACATACGCACTCTCACGTTTAAAACAGACGGCTCGTGGGAGCTGCTGCCTAACACGGGCGGCTCAAACCAGAGCTCCGCGATGACCTAAGGGAAGGGTGGGGGGCGGGAGGAAGGTTCTAGAGGGAAAGGATGTACGTATACTTCTGGCTGATTCCCATTGTTGTATAGCAAAAACCAACACAACACTGTAAAACAATTATCCTCCAATTAAAAATAAATTTTTTTTTAAATAAATTTTTTTTAAAAGTGCCACCATTTAGCATGTGGAAAAACAATCCAAGAAGATTAAGCAATTTGTATGTTAGAGTTTAAGCAGTTCTAGAACTCAGATTCCCCATTCAGGTGTTCATACTCTTAACGCCTCATTCTTCCATATATAAATGAAGGACTATATCTTATCTGAGAAGAAAACCAAAAATCTCAAGAGTTTAGATGTCATCTTTCTTAGAGCCAGCAGCAGAAACAAAAGAAAACTCCCTTCGAGCTGTGCGATGCCACACTTCACAGTAAGGCTAGCTTTGTCTTTATGAAACACAGTATTTATTAGGATCATCCTACGTACATCCAGACTCAAGCAGAAATCAGATTAGACCTCAGACGTATGTTCCACTTAACAGAAAATCTAATTCACAGTTTTGATATACCCAACAGATACTCCCATTAACAGGTTTTAATCCTGGGGATGGAAGAAGAGGGGGTGACTAAAACAAAGTTGCTGAAATACAGAGCAGCTACTGCATGTTGCAGGGCCGAGAGATGCAGGCTTGGAACTGAGCCAGTGTAAAGAACAATGGACCGCGGGCTTCCCTGGTGGTTCAGACAGTATAGAGTCCACCTGCAATGTTGGAGACCCAGGTTTGAGCCCTGAGTCGGGAAGATCCCCTGGAGAAGGGAATGGCTGGAAAACTCCATGTACAGTCCATGGGGTTGCAAAGAGTCAGACATGACTGAGCAACTAATATTTCTACTTTTCACCCAATGGACAGCAATTAACATGATGAAGCACAAACTCAGTGAGACTGTAAAGTCCTGGAGTACCTGGTCTCATGATTTAGCTCAAAAATTCTGTGTCCTCTGACATTTCTGTCCTATAACGAGATGCTCCCCTGTGCTCCCGTGACCCCAGGTTCAGTTACTCTTGCCTCTGGCTTTCCCAAGCTGCTCTCAGTCTTCCCTGCTTTGTGTCTGATCCTTGCTCTTGCCTTCCTCATGGGACTTAACACATTTCCTTGGCTTCCTGCTTCAGTCCTATGGGAGTCAGATGTTCAGAACCCAAGTGACATCGTCCAGGGCCACCTTCACTCAGGTCTTGGGCTCACTGGAGGCCAAAACAGTGTCCACAGACACTGAGAAAAAGACTGAAACCATTACTCTTACATCCCGCCAGTAGGTTGAAAGAGGTTTGTGGTCTTGCAAGAATTCAGAGTATATCACTCATGCCATTTAGGAAAAAATTACTCCCCCTGCCCAAATATTCCAGTAAAACAATCTTACCTCTGTATCTCACACAAATGTCCCGAAAGAAGACAGATAGGAAAGACTGGTATGAAATAAAATATGTGTATAGATACAATACTGTGTATTATACATACATATATGTAATATAAAAGTTAAGTGAATAAAGGCAAGTTGTCTGGAAATGTGCTCTAGTTAGCACTAGGCATGCTAACCAAAAACTCTGGGAACAGAAAAGACCAATATAAATAGATATTAAATCTCTAATTCTGCTCTTACTATAGAAAGATTATATAGCATGAATATCCAACAATGTCATAAATTTTGGGTGACTGAATTGATATAAAAGTCAATTGAATGAAATTTTATCACACAATTTGAGGATACTTTGAATGTGAGATATTCACAATAATCAAGAACATTAATTTGAAAAGATATATAGCCAAACAATATTGAAAAGTTAAGGAAATATCAAGATATTAAATTCCCTAATGTAATTACAAAGCTTCCCACGTGGTGCTAGTGGTAAAGAACCCACCTGCCAATGCAGGAGATGTAAGAGACGCAGGTTTGAACTCCTGGAGAAGGGAATGTCAACCCCCTCCAGTATTCTTGCATGAAGAATTCCATGGACAGAAGAGCCTGGCGAGCTATAGTCCATAGGGTCGCAAAGAGTCAGACATGACAGAAGTGACTTAGCACGCACATTCCATGTAATTACAAGTTAGAATAAACTGCTTAGAAAATGTTTGTAGCCCACAGTGATAAGGAAAGTAAAATTCAATCATTATAATGGAAAGAAAAGACATATATGTCTACCATCTTACATATTTTAATTTTTTCATTATGAATATCCCTTTCAAATGTTTTTAAAGAGTATATTATTTAAGAAATAAAGTATTTTGCATGGATGTTTAAATATTACTGATTAAGGTTTATGATAGTAAGTCAATTTCTCCCTTTATAAGCGCTCAAGGTAGAAGCCACAGTTCTTTGTAATCTAATCCCAAAGTGACATCCCATTGCTTCTGTGTTATTTTATTCCTTAGGAAATAGGTTCAGTCCATGCTCAAGAAGGGATTTCACAAGAATGAGCACCATTGGGGGGATCGTTGTGGGCCATCGTAAGGATGCCTACCATCCGGTTGATGGTCATTTCTCTCTCATCCAGATCTCTCGATGCTGTAGCACAGCTCACTGATGCTCTGTTTTTGTTGGTTTTGCTTGTTTAACTTTGTTTTCTTTTAAAATCCTCTTTCTCTGTGTTTAATTTTGGATAGCTTCTATGGCCACATCACTAATTTTTCCTTCAATGTCTAATTTGCCACTAATCCCACCCATGGTATCTCATATGTCCACCCATGGTATCTCATATGTTCTTGTTTTAATCTAAATTTGACTTAAATCTTTTCTTATACTGCCCATATTTCTACCTAACGTTTTGAACATCTGAAATATACTAGTAATAACCATTTTCATATCCTTATCTGCTAAGATCTGTGTCATCTGTCAGTTTATGATCATTTTTGACTGACTGGGATCTTACTTTCCTGTTTCTTTGCATACCTCATTTATTTGTGAACTTTACCCTGGTAGGTGCTGATTATTTTTGTCCTCCTATAAATAGTTTTGAACTTTGTCCTGGGATGCAGTTATTTGGAAATAGTTTAATCCTTTCCAGTTTGCATTTAAGATTTGTTGTGTAGAACAAGAGTAGGCTGAACCCAGAGCTAATTATTTACCACTGCAAGATCCTTCTGTTTACTCCATGCCCCATCAATCAGGAGGTTATCTAGTCTGGCAGGTCGCAGTAGTCCTTTGTTGAGTGCTGGGTGCTACTATCTTCCATCATTTCAAGTCATATTCTTTCCTGGGTCTTACGTAGTTCCTTCACATGCATGAGTGGATTAGAACTCACCTGAATATGCAAGAGGAAGCCTCTGCAGGTCTCTGGTCCTCTGTCTCTGGGCAGCAATCTCTTCTCAGGAACTTTGTACTGAGAATTCTTTCTGGCAGAGTCTCCTCAAACATTCAGCTTTGCCCCTCAGTTCAGTGATTCACTGGGCTCAGCTTGGGTCTCCCCACCCAATGCTGTTTCCTGGAAATTCTCTCAAGCTCAAGAAATTGTAGGGCTCATCTTGCTTGTTTCTCGTTACTTTAGGGATGACTGTCCTTTGTTACCTGATGGCTCATGTCTTAAAAACCCTTGTTTCATATATTTTGTCAAGTTTTTCATTGCTTCAGACAAAAGGGTAATTCTGTCCGTGTTATTCCATCTTGCACAGAAGTGGGAGCGACCTTCAGAATATGACTTTTATTTATTTTTTAATTAAAATAAGTATGTATTTATATTGATGTAATTTTGGTTTATAACACTATATAAATTTCATGTGAACATGGTATTTTTGGCTTCTATATACACCACAGTATGCATGCTAAGTCACTTCAGTTGTGTTTGACTCTTAGCAACCCCGTGTACTGTAGCCCACCAGGCTGCTCTGTCCACATTATTCTCCAGGCAAGAATACTGGAGTGGGTTTCATGCCTTCCTCTAGGTGATCTTCCCAACCCAGGGATCAAACCCACATCTCGTATTTCCTGCATTGGCAGGTGAGTTCTTTACCACTAGCACCACCACAGTACACTCATCAGGAAAAGTTGTTCCCATCCATCACCACACAGTTGACGTCCTTTACCCACTCTGCCCTCCCTCCATCCCTCTTCCGCTCTGGTAACCACTGCTCTTTTATCTATGTGATTTGTCAACTTATTTAGTCCTCATATGTGGGAAACCATATGGTATTTGACTTTCTCTGTAGGACTTATTTCACTTAGAATAATACTGTTGGGGATCCATCCCTATTGTCACAAGATTGCATCTCTTTTTATGGGTGAGTAATACTCCACTGTGAATATAAGTGTGTGTGTGTGTATATATGTGTGTATATATCTCACATCTTCTTTATCCATTCACCCATTCACCACTAGGCACTTGGGTTGTCTCCATGTCTTGGCTATTGTAAATAATGCTGTGGTGAACACATTGGTGCACATACCTTTTTGAATCAGGGTTTTATTATTCTTCAAATAAATACCCAGAACTGGAATAGCTGGCTCATAAGGTCATATATCTGAAAAGGGGTTAATATCCAAAATATACAAAGAACTCACCCAATTCAACATCAGAAAAACAAACCACCCAATTTAAAAATGAGCGGAGGACTTAATAGCCACTTTTCCAAAGAAGACATACAGTGGCCAATAGGCATGGGAAAAGATGCTCAGCATCACTAATCATCAGGGAAATGCAAATCAAAACCACAATGAAATACCACCTCACACCCATCACAGTGGCTGTATCAAAAGGGTAACAACAAGTACTGAAGAGCATGTGGAGAAAAGGGAACCCTCCTACACTGTTGGTGAGACTGTAAATTGGTACAGCCACTATGGAAAACAGTATGGAGATTCCTCAAAAAATTAAGAATATGAACTTTTAATGCAGATAATCTTTAAATGTAATAAATTTCTGAATTTTGCACTTTTTTACTGAAGTTTAACTGACTTACAATTTTATATTAGTTTTAGTTGTACAACAATATCATGATTCAATATTTTCATACATTATGAAATGATCACCATAATAAATCTAGTTACCATCTGTCTCCAGACAAAGTTATTACAACATTATTGACTGTATTCTCCTCATGTTGTCTATTACATCTCCATGGCTTATTTATAGCTGGAAGTTTGTACCTTTTACTCTGCTCCTCTTATTTGTTTTTACCCAAGTTTGCGTCACTAAGAAAGAAGGCAGTTCCTGGTGGATCATTTGTATTTCTTTCTCCTTCATGAGTAGAGTAAAAATAGCATTTCCAGACAAGACAGATAAATTGAGCATAACTGAATTTTGCCTTGCTGCTGCCTCCAGCATCTTTCTTCAGCATCTCTCTTCCTCGCAGTGGGAAGTCAATAACCTCCTGCCGCACTGGGGTCATTCAGAGTCCCCACCATAGGGGTCATGATGGTCCAAATCTGCCCCAAGCTCTCCACAGGTGATCTGCTTTAGGTCGCACTGCTTCAAGTCTCTAAGTTAAGAAACAAAGTAAATCTGTGTTGATGAGTGCATTATCTTTTCACAAATGAACCCTCTGGAGACTCTAACAAAAGCAACAAACAATGAGGAGAAATGTGAGATACTACAGCAAGCTATTTGGAGAAGATATTGGGTTGGTTGCGTGCGTGCATGCTAAGTCACTTCAGTCGTGTCCAACTCTTTGCGACTCCTTGCACTGTAACCCAGCGGGCTCCTCTGTCCATGGGATTCTCCAGGAAAGAATACTAGACAGTAGGTCAAAGTTACTCTACAGTTCAAAGGACTGGGTCGACCTTTGTTAAATCTTCCCAACTTAGGGTTTACGAAATTTAGCCTCTTCATTATCAAGTTCTGCCTTTCTTTCTTAACTCCTATTTATTCTTTGATCCAGAAATTTATTTCACCTGCCCAGTGACCTCTGAATATGTGATACAATGTGAATTCTTAAAATTACAGAAGCATATAAATATTGCACAATAAATGAATCTATCAACCCAAGTTTAATTTGAGAATTTTCTGATATTTATGAACTTTTATTTGTAAACGTCCATTACTCAATAAAGTAGAAAATTAATAGAATTCCAATTCTTCTTTTACCCATGAACCAGAGACAAAATGAACCTGTGAAATAGTTAAATATTCATTTTTTCTGATGACCATATGGTTTTGCTTTCAATTACAGACATAAGCAAAAATTTTATAAAATTGTAATGCAAAAAAGTGAGAACCATGTCAGTGATTTATAAAATCACGGGGTTGGGTGATGCATTAAGAAGGCATTCACAGCATCCAGAGGTCCTCAGGTACCAAGAACCTGTGATCACACTGAAGATTAATTCCAGCAAAACACTGTGACTTTGTTGCGCTGGCCAAGAAGTCCAGGGAAATCACACAGGCCCAGGAAAACTTATCAAAAAGAGATTCTTTTCTAATTCAGAGACTGAAAGTGAAAGTGCTAGTCACTCAGCCTCATGTCTGACTCTTGCAGCCCCACAGACTGTAGCCTGACAGACTCCTCTGTCCTTGGGATTTCCCAGGCAAGAATACGGGACTGGGTTGCCATTTCATTCTACAGGGGAAGATCCCAACCCAGGGACTGAACCTGGATTTCTTGCACTGCAGAAAGATTCTTTACTTTCTGAGCCATCAGGGAAGCCCCAATTCAGAGACTATACAAAGTTAAATTAGTAATTCCTCAAAGTTAAGATTTATTGAGACAGTTTTAATTCTATGTAGATGATTCTCTTCATTATTTAATCAGCAGGTGTATTTCCCAGGCATGCTCATCCTCTGGTAAAAATGGGAGGAACTTTGTCTCCTGACTCACCCACTGCTTCTCAAAACTTCTGGTTTGTGATCAGCAATCCTTGTTTCCATCACTTTGGCTTCAGCAGAGAGGAAAATGTAAGTCACAATATACTATTCATAGCTCAATTCCACTATTATCGCCATTATTCACCATTCCATTCCCCAAGCTTTAGAAAGTAACAAAATCTTACAGAAAGTTTGGAGAGACAGAGGCTTTGAAATGCAGTAACACAGGTGAGCTAAACTTGAGACTCTGACATCCTTGTTCCTAGTCCTTTGCACATCCCACGGAGAGGAACTTTTTACCGGCTATTTTTTCTCTGGAGGTCGTGGCCTCTGCCAAGTTGACCGATCTCTCTCCCCATCCTCCATTTCTTTCTGAATTCTATGTTTTTTATTCTCTGACTCCCAAACTCATAGTCATTTATCATTAAAAACAGTTTAGCTGTCATTTCTTTGCACAATCATCACAGAAGCCATGCCTTTGGAGCAGGTGGAGCCTCACCTTTCCACTCCCTCTAAGCAGTTATCCCAGCTACCTTCCAGGGCACTTCCCAACCAGAGAGACTGCACTGCTGATCAGAATCGCCCTTCTCAGGCTAACTACCATCTCACACTTCAGTGGCCTTCACCCCTGACCTATTTCAGCCACAAACTCTCAAGACCACAATTTGTCACCATCACTCACTCCTGCTACATGCAATTGTTCAATGACATGGTAATCATTGACCTGCAGCACAACATGGTCAAAGACAGACTAGGTTTAAATTTTCACTAGAAGTGAAAGGATTGTGACAGAGCATAGGGTGAACTTCTAATTTCAGCAATGATCATTTCAAAAATCCATCAAGGAAGAAAAGATATTCCAACCGAGCAGTGGGTTTCCTTTTTCTCTTTTAAAAACAACTATAGTATTATAATGAACACTTGATTCATCCACTTTTGAAAGACAAACCCAATGACTGTAAGATTTTTCCATGCTTACTATGAGTCTGTGTAAGACAGGCCTGAAGATCCGACCTTTACTCTTGCAAAGCAGCAAATGATGAATAGTTATAAATTTACCTAAATCAGAGGCAAGATAGCTGAGAATTCTGTGTACCAGACTGAGCACTTATACTCATCATGAAGGCTGCTTAATGAATAACTGGGAGCTAATGGAACAGCTGTCCTGGAGAATGGGGGCAGTTTATGTCAATGAGGGGAGATGTGACCAGCCAAGTACATGCATCATTTCAGTTCAGTTCAGTTCAGTCGCTCAGTCATGACCGACTCTTTGAAACCCCATGGACAGCAGCATGCCAGGCCTCCTTTCCATCACCAACTCCGAGAGTTTACTCAAACTCATGTCCAATGAGTCGGTGATGCCATCCAACCATCTCACCCTCAGCTGTCCCCTTCTCCTTCCACTTTCAATCTTTCCCAGCATCAGGGTCTCTTCAAATTAGTCAGTTCTTCAAATCAGGTGGCCAAAGTATTGGAGCTTCAGCTTCAGCATCTGTCCTTCCAATGAATATTTAGGACTGATCTCTTTTAGGATGGACTGGTTGGATCTCCTTGCAGTCCAAGGGACTCTCAAGAGTCTTCTCCAACACCACAGTTCAAAAGCATCAATTCTTCGG